GGTGCCGAACAGGAGGAACGACCTCCCTAGAAGAAACGTCTGCACAAAAAAAGATTATCAGAACTTTGTTATTTAAGCATCAAAAAGAAAACTGAGGAAAGGGGAACCTGACTCTCCTCTCCCAGTCTCCACTAAAGACCACAAGGTCATCCTTGTACCCCTTGTCTGAATTAGGGAGATGGGTGACGAGGTACATGGAGATGTCCCGGGTTTTCAGGTAGAAGACTCCATTTGGCAACACTCTCATCAAGTATAGCAGAAGAGGATGTACTCGAGGCGCCTATTTAATTCCATTACTCCCATGATTATCCTAAAAGTATTGAGAGCGCACTGATCCGGGAAGAGACAGAACCTAGAAAGGAACTAAAGGAGTAGCAAAGGAATAGGGAACCTGATCCCTCCTTCCATGATCGCCTTGGTATAAAAAGGCATAGCATCCTCGACGCCGACGTCAGGACGATGACGGGCTGGGTCAAACTCGACTACAATAACATCACGAGGGATGTCATAGTGGGCTTTGAAGTTTGCTATTTGTTGGGCACCCTTAAATGTCCATTTTCTCAGCCTTGAGGTCCCGGCCTCCTGGGCCTCAATCACGGGTTGACACCTCGGCATCTCGAATAGAAAGAAGGTCAAGTTTAGAGGGCTCTTTCCTTAAAACACAAGAGGAAGTCCTAAGGGGCACTAAGGAATGCGAAACGATGGAGAAGTCTGAAGGACTACCCTGGGGCTTAGTTTTTCAAGAATGAACACGATGGGGACCTCAGAAGGCTACCACTCGCCGAAAAAAATAAAAAGAATAGGGACGAAGACTCACCAGGGACTACGGGGAAAGAGGACTGAAAGATTGAGGAAACTTGGGAACATTTCTTTTTCTTCTTCTTCTCTGGTGATGGCTGAGAAAGATGACAGGAGTTCTTCAGGCAGTAAAGCTCTGGCTTTTCTCCGACAATGAAATCTCTGAGGAAAGCTTATGGTGTCGAAAAGTGAAAAAAGGGAAAGGGGGGTTCTGTTTTTATAGGCTCCCCAGGTTTCATCATTGCGCAAGAAAGGGCGCATTCAATGCGCACGTTCTCCAAACAACAGGAAAACGGTTGGAGTAATGATGAGATGATTGAGGACAGTTATGAACCCTTCCATCTTCTTGCGACACGTAACCTTTTCGAAAGAAGATCAAAGGGTTGGAGGGCAGTTGATGGGACATTTCGAGAAGGTTACATATCAATGACATGTGTTCTCGATCCCAAGGGACGTATCTTCCCCCGATGACGTATCCTCGACCTCAATGTCCCCCATGCCCCAACAAACGAGTACCTCGACTTTATGGTATGTTCCCTCGGTTCCAAGGAGTCACTCGCCACCAATCTAAGTCATTGGTTTCTGAGGGAACCAGCGACTGACAGCTGGACTGGCCTAGGCTAGATTAGCAATAATGAATACACCCTGCACAATGAAGCCAGTATGACAGGATGGACTGGACATTTAGCCAAAGAGAGTCAGACGCGTGGCATAAACCACAAGATAAAGGGTAAAAAGATGGCATTGCCCCTGCTGATATGCGGCTAATAAAGATAGACGTTTAATGCATTGACAGTTATTAAGACATCTAGCATGACTTAACCAGCCAAGAAGCAAAAGCATTAAATGCTCAGGGATCTGAGCATTTAATGCCTCAACATTGGAGAAAAAACATTGAATGCCCAAACAGTGCGAGCAATTAAGATGGGAACATTCTCCATGAAAAATATGGGAACACTGTCCCATCTCTGAAGATTACTTACTGACTAGACTGTCAGCAATGATTAGCCTTTGAAGGTATAAATAGCTCTTAAAAACGCATTGCTAAAGTACGAAAATTGACCTCTCAAGAACTCCAAACAGTATTTTTTTCTTCCCCTCTCTCAAAGAACTAACTTGACCGTAGGAGGGGATACGCCGGAAAATACTCCGGCGCCCTTCTAACCTGTTTTCTGTGTTCCAGAAATTCTTTGTGAGCCATCAGGATCAGTTCTACAACACCAAAAATAATTCATCATCAGTCTTTAGGCCCCATTTGTCCCTCTTAACCTATTCCTTATTGTCGGATCCACCGTTTCAACGGGTCGTAACTCCCTATGGGAGAGATCTGTTCGCATCACAACCATTGTGCAGAAATTTCCCCACACACACGCCATGATTCGTCATGCCATCGCCAATGCATACATGCATACACGAGTGTGAAGACTTGAAGAATATAACACAAACATGGTTTATCCGGACAAAGTCTTACCTTAGAAATCCCAAGATGTCAACTGGGACTACAATTAGTCATTTGAATCTCTGAGAGCCTAGGGACATTTTAGAATATTAGAATATAGAACATGAGTCAAGACCGACACCAAGGGAAAACAAGATGCTATTAAACTATATTAATACCACCACTCAGAAAATTAAAAGAGACAACATATAGAACCTGGTGTATAATATATTCTTCTTCCTCTAGCTACCGTGGCCACTGCCGTAGGCCCGTAGTTTCAGTGCATAAACCAGACACAAACATCAGCAAATTAGAATGAATGGATTCTTAAAATTTCACACAAGAATGTCAGTAATTGTCAGGTGAATGTGGAGAATAACCATAAATTTATCGCGAAAAGTGGAAATAAAGGCAAGTTCATCGACATCGGTAATTTCTTCACCAAACTATCGGACCTTTCAAAAAGATTTTGTCATACAGAAAAAAGTATCTTGGCAATGGATTCTATTTTTTTTTTAAAGTACGAATCTAGTAACAATTACTATAAGATAATTGGTGAAAACCATCAAAATTTGTCTGATCCACAAACCTGTTATGATCTTTGAGAAGACAAACGTTCAACGTCCTTGTGTTTCAAGATTGCCGATAGAAATTTGAGATAGAAGACATGAAACCACCACAAGAAATTTTGAAATAGCCCACATTCGTAAAACACCGGCAAAAACCAAATAAATGACGGCAAATCTAAGTCTTCGTATTTGAATTTAATATCACCTATGTTGGAGCTGAAAAAAGTACCCTTTTTTTTAGCGGAATACAAAGGCCGACACTATTGTCGCACACCGGTGACCGAAAGATATTTATCGACATTTAACTAAACTTCAACAAAGAGCCCTCACTTTCTTGACACCTTGCCGGGAATTCATTTTATTTTTTTATTTTTTTTGTTTTATTTGTTTATTTTCCCAATAAAATCTGTTGAAATTAAGCTATACAATCCACATGGACTATAGTTTGTCACTTCACATAGAATTTAAATCTACATTGACTATAGTTTGTTACTTCACATAAAACTCTATGAAATTCCACGAAGTTAAACTCTGTACAATTCATATAGTCTCACTGTTTTTATGACATGTATGATATTCTAGTAATTTGTTTTAGTTTAAGGATTGTACTAAAATAGTGAATTATTGACCTTTAGCAATGATAGTTACCCTTTCACCTCTGCAGCAGATTCTATATAAGCAGGCTTAAGCCTGAGTAATACATAGCAACCCCATTTTTATCAAATTCATGCATAATAAAAAAAATAAATCATTTCAACCAAATTAAAAAATCATCCAAACAGATTTGACTCGTTGTACTGCTTTTAACAAATAATCACATTAGCATTGATAACTTATCTATCTATATTACCGTGAACCAAATTGAAAATTTTTAATTTTGTGCAAACCATGTGCAGTGGTATTAGATATCTCGAACAAATTAGTAATCTCTAATACTTGGCATTTCAACAGATTTGAGAAAAAAAATGTATAACAATTATGTAATGTACTTGGGAGGTGTGCGGGATATTTTCTGCAACAGTTTGAAATAGCGACCTTCAACTTAGAGAACCTACAACAGTCACAAGGTCAGAAAAAGGGGGTCAGGTGAACACCTAACTTATTCCCTCCAAAACTTAAGTCAGTGTAAGATTGAAGGTTCAAGCTCAATGAATTTTATGTTTCTGATTCAATGTTGCATACTTTCAGCTAACAACCTAAAAATTGAACACAATGACTACCAACCCAAATACAAAAGGTAATGTCTAAGACCTAAATATGTACTAAATATTTTAGAATCACATCTAAAATACATCAAAATCACGAGGACCTACAAAATAAATAAAAAGCACCAACTTTTTCAAGCTAACCTTAAAAATGGTGGCATACCAAGAAATAAGAACCCCCTCCATATCTTGAACGGCTCCATTCAACATGATATGAAAAGTGAAATATAAAAGGGTAGTTTCTAAAAGGCCCTCTTTAAAAGAGTAGATTTTCCTACACACTACTGTTGAAATATTTTCTAGACATAAGAATGGGAAGTAGATGAAATTACAATCCTTGCATCAATAATCTCATAACACCATGTTAATATTGTTATTGTTACTATTTATCAACTGTTACAATATAATAATCCAAACATTTAATATCAAAATGAATAAGATATAAATATAAACTGTACTAACACTAAACTTATGCTAATATAGTTCTTATCGGGAAAAAAAACTTAAGCTAACATAAATAACTCAGTACAGTCACTCACTCTATAGAAGATAAATAACCTGTAAAATTAATATATTATACCTCATAGTTAGCACCCGTGTCCCAAAGACACTACATAATACACAAAATTCAACAAGTAAAAAATTAAAATCTACGAAACGAAATTAAAACTCGAGTACTAGGGTTCACCATTTTTAACACAACCCTAAAATCATCGCACTCATCAACCACAAATCCTACCTTAATAAAAAAAACTTATCAAATACCATAACATAGACTCAATAATGTTCATGCACTACATTTTTTTCATAGTGGTTTTTAATTGGTTTTATAGTTTTCCAATGGATTCAACATCTATTAATTGATTCAATTCCGGTTCTGCTTGGTTTACCCGATTTACGATTGCTGTAGTTTAATTTGTTGCTGGTGTGGTCCGATTTAATTTGTTGTTGGCGTGGTTGGCAAATCGGGTGGTCCTCTGACCCGGCTCATTTTCAGCTCAGAGTATAAACCAAGTTTAAGAAGAAAAGTACTGTAGCTGTGACTTTCTCTAGTTTCTTTCTTGGACAAAACTCAAAGACCGAGAGAGTGAACCAGAAAAGAGAGGAATACGCAAGGCTTTTGCAGGGACGTTGGGTTGTGATCGAGTTGTAGCAGCAGAGATTCGCAATGGACGTGATAAAGTCACAGCAGGTATCAGCTCGCCCGATCGAGAAGGTCATAGTACACCCTTTGGTACTGTTAAGCATAGTCGACAACTACAACAGAGTTGCTAAGGACACTCGAAAGCGCGTCGTCGGCGTCCTCCTCGGGAGTTCCTTCAAAGGCACCGTCGATGTCACCAACAGCTATGCAGGTTCAAATTTCACACTTCTCCATTCTCAACGGAATTTCCCCATGCCCCTTTTCCCTCAATTTCTTCGTTATTTCCAGATCTGAAAGTGAAATTATCGAATTCATTCTGTTTAATTTCTTTGTTCTTTTGTATATTTATTCCACAAAAAAAAATACCCAGATAGTGAATATGCGTTCGTATGTATAGTTTGGATGTGATGATGCGCAAGGTAAAAAAGTTTGGTTTCTGGAATTGAGTGTTAGGGTTTATGTTGTTGTCACGGTATCTTGTGAAGCACGAATAAATCAATTTTTTTTAGTATGTGTTTTATGTATAGATTATTGCTTGGATTTGGGTTTTATTTAGTTCTTGGGTGGAATGAGAAGGAACAATGGAGAGAATGAGAGGAAATAACAGAGAATGAGAGAGAAGAGCGGACAATGATTTGAAAAGAGGTTTCTTTTTTAATCATTTTGTGAACGTATAGAGGCTTGAGTGAAGTTATGCTGTAACTTAAGAGTCTTCAGAATCAACAATCATTACTAAATGGTGCGAACTTGTTCTTGTAGTGCCTTTTGAAGAAGATGACAAGGATCCAAGCATATGGTTTCTTGACCACAACTACCATGAATCAATGTTTTCCATGTTCAAGAGAATAAACGGTATGTCATTCTTAAACTTCATGGTGATACTTTGCTATTTTGTGGGGATTGTCGCTGTTATTTTCATTCTATAAATACCTACAAAATTGTTGCAGCCAAGGAGCACGTTGTGGGTTGGTACAGTACAGGCCCCAAATTGCGTGAGAATGACCTAGATCTTCACAGTTTATTTAATGAGTAAGGCTCTTTATCTTAGTTCTTAAGGTAGATGTAAGTTGTGCTAATTCCTTTTATTTGTTGATGCCTTGTTTTGGTATCTTTTGTACCCTGTTCCATGTTATGGGTAGTAATGTATACCAGATATGTCCAAAAGTAGGAACAAGAAATGATGTCCTTATGTGTGATGCATCTCGTGTGGGTGTGGTGTCCAAGAACCTTAGGAGTGAGGCCTAGGTTTTTCCCCATATCTCTTACGTTTGCTAGATGTGACAACTAAATTTTCTTCTATCCTTGTTCCCTCTTTTCTTTTTCATTTTTTGATTTTCAGCAGTTGTAGGCTTCCTTAAGCTCTGAATCAGACTTGGACCACCGTCATTTTGCTCTTAAAACTTGAGGAAACAAGCCTAAATCATGACCCTCTTAATCCTTCATCCATAACCCCCCCCCCCCCCCCCCCCCCCCAAAAAAAAAAAAAAAAAAAAAAACCATCTTAGCCTGCGAACCACCCTCCTTCTTGTCCTAAGTTGGTCTTTCCTGTCCTACATCTTTACATGTAACCTTGCCTCTCTGTTGTTCTCAAGGAAACTCCACCTATTGATGTGGATGATTCTTGGTTCTTACCGTTCTTTTAGATTCAGCTACACTATCTACTTGCTTCCTAGTTTATATGCTTTTTTCTACTCTTGGATTGCTATGAGTTCAGGCCATAGATAGGTATTAGCCTTCTAACTTGCAGTCCTAGAAAACATTTCACAAGTTAACGTGGAACACCTCAGTACTTTATTGATGGTTTGTAGCAATTTATATATTGCTTGGGTAAGAGCATGAAGTCTTCTTGAAATAGGCATAGGGCGTAAGTAGCTTTGTTCTTGTGGAGTAAACTAAATTCATATCATTATCTCATTTTTATTACCAAAGTCATCTTGAAGCGACTTTTCATTCCCTCTCCCTCTTATCAAGCCCAGCCACAAAGAGACCTACTGTTTGTCGTTGTTCTTTTACTTATTTGTCTAGGATTTCTGGTATTTTCAGCTATGTTCCGAATCCCGTGTTGGTCATAATAGATGTTCAACCAAAGGAGTTGGGAATACCCACCAAAGCTTACTATGCTGTTGAAGAGGTTAAAGAGGTACTAGTCATCAATTCCTTTTAAAAAACTTTCGATATATGCCTATCTCTTATAGCTGACTTGGTCAGATGCATATCATTTTTATCAATCCTAAGAATGGGAGATTTAGTTATCTATAATACTTTTCTCTATAATTAAGGAGGTATTTCTAAATAAAAATTCTTGGTTTGAGTTAGATTGTTGAAGTTTATTCTTAACTGAATGCTAACTATAGTAATGCTTGGTTATGGTTACAGAATGCTACGCAGAAAAGCCAGAAGGTTTTTGTTCATGTTCCGTCGGAAATTGCTGCTCATGAAGTGGAGGAAATTGGTAACTTATGAGAAGAAATAAGTAATTATTATAGTAGAATTGGTTTCCTCTAATACTAAAGAATGAAGATTCAAATCAACTTTATTTTGCAAATAATTGGAGTTCCATACCTCTATTGTCACCCATCAATAGGAGTGGAGCACTTGCTGAGAGATGTGAAGGATACAACCATCAGCACACTTGCAACTGAGGTTTTTCTTCTTTGCTTACCTTAAATTGTCAGCATCTTCTAACCCTCCATCACTAGTCTCTCTTACATAGGTAGCCACCTTCTCAATCTTATTGTTATCTGACCAGAAGAAAAATGATGCAGGTCACTGGAAAACTTGCAGCTCTAAAGGGTTTGGATGCACGTCTACTAGAGATACGTAGTTACCTTGATCTTGTTATTGATGGAAAACTCCCATTAAATCATGAAATTCTTTATCATTTACAGGTACTATTTGTCTTCTGTTCTACTTATTTAGTGTCTATATATTCATCAATTGGAGTTTCCATCAGCATGTACTGACATAGTGTAGATAGCTGTCACATTTCAGATATGCAGTGGAAAACTAGATTAAGTTTTTTTTAACCAAAATTGAACAATAATAATCGAAGTACCTCTCCAAGCATAAATGTCCTCACCACTTCATGTAAATTTGATTGCTTGGGTCTGCATCCTTTTAGCCTCTTAGAGATCCCTTGTCAGTTAGAAATCCTAGAATTCAAGTCACATGGGTTGGCCAGTTATCCTGTTCTAGGGTATAGTAATTTCGGTGAGCTGTGTATCTGTATCCCTTTATTTGGATTTAGATGTCTGCGCTGATCTCTTGTAGGATGTGTTAGAGAATTTAAATAGATTAGGAAATTGAAAATCTTTGTAGGGAGATGCTTTGTCGCTGCATCATTGAAGTTTTTCTTCCTGGGAAAATTTTTGGGGATATATGGTGTTGTAGGATTGGTTGCAACACGGTGCAAGTTGTCCATTGTTAATGTTCTGTGAGGAATGTCAATGATGATACTCCACTATTAGGATCCACACGCCTGTCATTACCATGTACCACAATTCATTTTCTTTTGTGGTTGAAATGTCAAACAATTCATTTGTCTTCAACAGTAACTCAGTTCATTTGCATTGGACTCTTAACTTCCTTGTTATATATCTTTATGAAGCATGTAAGATAAATTATGTCTATATTTTCACGCATTCTGCTCCCAAGACAGTTGGAAAAAAGGCTTATATGATACTGCATTGGATTTTGCTCTGCATGCATTTACCTTTTGCCACATTCCATTTTGCTTATCATGTGTTCTGTCTTGTCAACGAACTGCAGGATGTATTCAACCTTCTTCCAAATCTCAATGTGACTGAGTTAATCAAGGCTTTTGCAGGTAAGTGGATAACTCAGATGGCATTGGCAAGAATATTAAAAATGCTGTTCTTTGTTTTCCTTTTTTTTTTTTTTTTTTTTGGCGGTTTGGTTTTCTACCTTTATGTTATATCGTTAATTTTCTCCTCCTATATGTGCAGTGAAAACAAATGACATGATGCTTGTCATATATCTTTCATCCCTGATCCGAGGTGTCATCGCGCTTCACAATTTGATCAATAATAAGGTGCATGCCGTCTCTGGACATGGACACAGTTTGTTCTGAAGTAACATTATCTTCAGTAACGTAATTTTGCTGATTAAAAAAAAAACTAAAGTACCTAAATGTTTGAGTTTTTATGCAAAAGGCCAAAAGATTGTTTGCCTTTGTGATTATTGCTTGGCTTCCTAACTTGTTTTGAGCTGAATTTTTGGAGCAACCATGATTAATCAAGTTACCATATTTCGTATAGTTCTTGATTTTACAGGTGTGTAAAGTTTGGCATTCCACTGTAAAGTAAAGATGAAGCACTGTTATCCTTACTAACATGGATATCATAAAAATATGGCCTCAATGTTAATAGTGATGTAGCCACCAAGACTCTGTATTTACAACTAAGAATATTCGTAAGATTAGTATGTCTTTAATGTGATATGCAGCCATCTGACTTTTGTGTAAGGTTTACACTGATTATCTGTGTTAATCATCTGACTTTTGTGTAAGGTTTACACTGATTATATGTTTTAATCATCTTTAATTTGCAATTTTGATTTTCAGATGCTTAACAAAGAACACGAGAAAGCCGAGGATGCAAAGCCGGCAACAGTACCACCCATTGGTGGAAGCTAAACGAGGGTTTTATCACTAATTAGGTTTTCAGCCATGGTAAAATTCAAGCTTTGGGGGAGAGTGAACCCGAGATAAGCTATTTCGACAACTCTCATTGAGAATTTCCAGAATGCAATCGCAGAGAACAGGGCTTCAAACGTTGGATTCATGATTCCTTTCGACTTGTAATATGTTGGTGAACTTTACATTGCTTAGCACTTGTACCATTTTCTACTTGTCAAACATTATAGCAATTCATATTCGTTTTATTCGACATTCTGGGTTCCTTCCAATTGATGCGTTGGGTTCAATTTGGATTCTTTACCCTAGACAACTGTGTGTGGATTGATGACCTTCTTTAACATGCCATGTGATAAACAAGAAGTATTGGATGAAGACCCAGAAATCTTATGCTTGTGCTGGTTGTTTATTTTCAAGGACCTTAACTTATCTGAAGTTGAATTAAAGTTCCTACTTCATTATTAGCTGCTGCATTGACATGGGACACTGGACGGGATGCACTTTAGAGTTTAGAGTCCCTTCAACTGTGGTAGCAGCTCTTCAATGCAATTCAGGGGTTTATATTACGACTGTTTCTTTCTCACCACAATGATTATTTTCTGTTAATTTTTTTTTTAATTTTTTGGTTCTACGGTTAGAATGTCCGGGTTAGTTTATACAGATTTTAACTATCTCTCGTCTAGTCCGGTTAAAAGCAGGTTTTTTACGTTGGAACTAGAATATTTATGATAGATAAATTTTTTATGACTTTATTTTAAGCGTTGGGATTAGAATATTTATAATAAATAATTTTTTTATGATTTTATTTTAAGAGGTTGTCAAGTTTTAAAATCAGGATTCATTCCGTTAACTTCTTCAAACTCTTAGTGACATCCCATAAAATTGCCACTGCACTGATCCACTAACATGAGACTGCGTTGACGATTTCAAGGATAATACAAAGTTAAAACGTGAACGATAGTAGAATTGGAATAATTTTTGGAATGTTTTAGGGACCAAAATGATAATCAGTGCGAACTTTTATGGGACAAAGTGTAATTTCCGAAGAGGGTTTAAATAAGAAACCAGCGCTTCAAACAAACGGCGGCGTGAGGAGTGTTCGTTCGTAGCGACGCCGACATTTTCTGTTTCATCAACCTACGTGCTGTGTACCGCTTCTGTTCTGGCTCTCAGTTTTCGGTAGAACAAAGTACAGCAGGTATCATATCATCCTAGACCTGAAACACCACTCAATCTCTCTGCGTATTACTATCTTATCTCTCTTCCCTGTTGCTCTCCCTTCTCTCTCTCTCTCCCGTCTCCCGCCTCTGCCAGCCACCTAGATCCAGTCAAAGCCGAAGAAACCTCTGCCCAACCCACCAACCAGCTCCAGACTTCTCTTCTTCTCACTATCTGTGCAACCAGCACCCCTACTGTACCCATCGAGAGAGCACCCAAACAAACCCATATCCAGCTCTCCACAACCACCAGTGCCACCGCTACTTTACCCACTTGCAGAGCTTGTCATAAATCAGTGCAATTCGATTAGATTTTCTCTGTAGTGTTTCGATTTGATTCAATTTGATCTCTCTGGTTTTCCATTTTGATTTGATTCTATTGGTGAAATTTTGCTCGGATTTTGATTTCATGTTAGGGGTTATGCAGTGGGTGTGTCTGTGAGTTGGGATGAGGAAGGGAAGATAGGGAGAGAGGGAGATGGCAGAGAGATTGGGTCCACCAACAGTGGTGGCTACAGGTTCGCCGGAGGAGATAGAGAGGGGTGACAAGGTCATTTTAATAGTTAGAGTTGCTTTCTAGTCCACAAACCATATGGGGTTGTGGTTATTTCAAATGACCGAGGGTTATGTGCATAAAGGGCAAACCACAGGGCCAAAAGGAAGTTTGCCCTTTTGATTTTTTGAGTTCATTCGTCTAGTGTGGTGGTTGTAGAACTTTGATAGCTGTTGTTCAATATTGAAGCTCGTGGAACTGTAAATTAACCTTTATTTGATGTACTTATTGCATTCTATACACTACGGACTTCGTTTGACCTGTGATACTAACGAAAACACGGGAGAACTTCAAATTCACACAAGTTGTTTGATGAGAAGATAAGATGTTGAGTTATTATTCTTTATTACTTTATGATTTATCATGGTGAGTACAGCAGAAATTCTTGTGTTGTCCATTCCACAATAAATTTCTATAGTAATTTACAGCTGCAAACCCATGTATTGCTCCGTGTCCAATGATGGAAAAAAAAAAAGTAAAATTTTAAAAGGTTGAAGTACTCGGAGAAGAGAAACGTTGCTGAATTAGTTATCTCCAATCTAGTGAATTTGTGCGCCCGTAGGCCTTTTTCTTCGCCCTCAAAAAAGAAGATTGTTTTGTATTCATACAAAATTATATATCTATTATACGTCTGTAGATTGTTTTGTATTCATACAAAATTATATATCTTTTATACGTCTGTTTCTTTCGGAATGACATAATGATGCATAGAAACTATTATTTTAATTTTATTAGTAGTATCTAGATTCCAAAAGAATCGTCCGATAATTGGAGAGATGGAGTTCAAAAAGGCAAAATTTTAGATATCTTTGATTGTGAAACTTCATTACTTCACTTATGTATTTATTTGTTTTTAATCAAGCTGCAGCTAGTTTTTATAGTCTTTTCTCTTCTTTTTTTTGGTTCGCAATACGTGATCTCTGGAAGGGATGTCAGACTTACACTTGCTTTGTTGTGCCATTGTGTTGCAGTCTTCTGTCATTTTAGAGCTAACTCTTGTTCTAGGAAATTTGTTTTACTAGCCAAAAAAGACCAGTCTTAGGAAAATGGGAAAAGCTTCAAGAGATAAAAGGGTACCTTGGCTATATTTTCTGTTGCACTTCCTTTTGTTTGCTTATGGATTGTTTTATATTAGGAATTTGTAATGAATTAATTTGTGCGCAGGATATCTACTACCGAAAAGCAAAAGAGGAAGGTTGGCGAGCTCGAAGTGCCTTCAAGCTCCTTCAGATTGATGAGGAATTCAACATATTCGAAGGTTTGGCACCAGTCCAAAGTTGGTTTCTATCTTTCTTTACTACAAAAGGATTTAAGTTAATCTAAATGAGAAAATTAAGTTAATTTGTCCGCTTTCGTACAAACCTGCTAAGATTATACTCAAGTTACAGTAAGGTTGCTTATTGTGACCTTCGCTTCTAGACTTCGAGTCGCGAAAATTGTCTCTCCACATATTGGCGTAATGCTGCGTAATCTAACCCTCTCTAGACTCCATAGTGGCGGGAGCCTTGTGTAATGGGCCACCAATTTTTTGTTTGTTTTGGGAGGGGAGGGGGCTGCTTGTTTGGTTGCAGAGATCTATAATGATGTTATAAACATACTCAGCTGCTGCAATTGATCTAATTGTACCGCTGAATTGCAGGAGTGAAGCATGTGGTAGATCTATGTGCAGCACCTGGTAGCTGGAGCCAGGTATTTACGATTGAGAATTCACTATTGGGTTATCTTTTCAATTCATATTGCTGATACGGATTTGGGAAATCAGTTTTGATAGAGATGAAACCACTTCTCTTTCGTAATATATTTGTTTGATCTTACTGGCTAGCTGATCATTGTAAAAGGGACATTGATTAATTGAAATGACTTATATTTTGCATGAACTGACCTTCACTATCATGGTAACCATTGGACTTGTGCTTAAACCGGTTCCAAACTCACTCAAGTATTCCAGGGGGTTTGATACATTCTCTTGAAGGTCGGATATTTCATGATTTTTGTAACAATCATTTTCTGTTTATGACCAGACGTCATCCACCCCTTCCCCCACCAAAAAAAATAACCACACACACACCAAAAAAAGAAGAAGGAAATACCATATCCCAAAAATTACTTACCTTCTCTTCATACTGCTTTTGGTAATGGCATGGATGATATCTAACCGGCATCTAATACCTTGTCTCTTGTGTTCAGGTTTTGAGTCGTAAATTGTATCTCCCAGCAAAGCTGTCAGCTGATTCAAAGTAGGGTCCCCTGTTTGAATCCTATGCTTAGCTTGCAGTCTGCACTTTACAAATTATGCCATTGTTCAATTTCTTTCTTCGTCAAGTGAAAGATATGAGATCTTGTAATACCACTTGGGCTTGGGCTAACATAGGTTGAAGTTTCCTGCATGCTTGGCTACCACCTGGCCAACTGAGAGAGAGAAGTTACAACTAGAACTAACAGTTTTTGGCCAGGAAACTTTCTATGAAAGGACATCTTCTTCTTTCTGCCCTCACCCCTATCATGTGCTTCAAAGCAAAGAACCTCCTTGTGGACTCAATCTCAATCAACCCCATGTAATATAGCAGCCCTGCCACCTCATTATAAAAGTTTGTATGGATTTAAGATCAGTTTCCTACCCATGCCTTGTATCATCACAATTTGAATCTGCAAATCCTATTCCAGCACAAAGCTGATGTCATAAACAAACTCTTCTTCCCATCCTCATTTAATTTTTCTCCCAAGCCAGTTTCATGCACTCTATAGTGTTGTTTGATGAAGGGAACCTTCATCCTTTCTTATTAAGAGCTGAAATAATATTACCAATGTCTCAACAGTCAAGACATATATTTTGGGTTAATTAGAGAAATGATCACATTACTTTGTTGCTGTCTTGGAAATCGCAGTTTAAGTGGAAGCAGTGGGGCCAAAATAGATAAGATGAATCGTTAATAATACGGTCTTTCAGTATTTTCATGCACAATTCATAATGGTGTTCCTGATCATTTGTTGATTTCTGCCAGGAATAGTGATCTACCACTTATTGTAGCCATTGATTTGCAGCCCATGGCTCCTATTGAAGGTGTTATTCAAGTGCAAGGTGATATAACTAATGCTCGAACGGCTGAAGTGGTATCAACTATTTTCTCTCAAGTTTTATATTGTGGTGTATTATTTTTCCCATCAAATTCTTTCCTGACCAGATGAAATATATCCAACCTTATTGTCTAGTCTTGTAATGGATATAAAATGCTTTTGTTTTTTTCACTTGGACTTAGCTACTGATCAATTAGTTTACAGCAGTGAGGTTGTTATCCATCAGTAGAATGTTGTATTGTTGTAGACTCACTATCTTAGTTTATATAGTGGTCCCTTTTCAACCAATTTAGTTTGGAGGTAGCATTGGCATTGTCTAGAATCGGTGATGTGATTCAGATTGAATGGTAGGGAGTGCTTGAAGAACCTGTAGTGATGTCATCCCTCAGTTGCATGAAACCATGATATGTTGTTAAATACTGCTTTAGACTGGATATAATGACCTGAAATTTGAGTTTGTGTGGCCAACTTTAGCTGATTCGACGAGGGAATTTTCATACGGGTCTAAGAACAGCCTGAATTCTTGCATGAACAAGTAATATTACTACTGATAGTTGTCTAATGCTCTGGTAATAAATACTTGATAAAAAATCATACATATCTAGGTCCATTATTTCTGGCTATTTTCAGCCAACAGTGTCTTCGAAATCCTTATCTTATGTCATAATGCTTGCCTTCACTTGCATGAGTGGGTTGGCTACATTGGCCCTTTTCATATAATTAATATATGGTCAAATATATTCAGATCCCAGATTGAAGTTTGGTTTTCCATTGATATATTTATTTTCCCTTGAATTGTTTTGTTATATTATGGATCCTCACTATGTTGCCATTCACTATGTCTTTTTTGTTCAGGTCATTAGACATTTTGATGGATGCAAGGCTGACTTGGTTGTATGTGATGGTGCTCCCGATGGTTAGCAAAGCAAAATGATATAAACTTCATATTTATTGGATCTGTTGGCTTGCTTTAATTGGTAGCGTCTGATCTATAGTTTTCTGAGTTTGTTCTCTTTATGAATTGCAGTAACCGGACTTCATGACATGGATGAATTCGTTCAGTCGCAACTCATATTAGCAGTGAGTGTTCGGATTCCTTTTTGGGCTAATGGATGTTTTGCAACGGAAAATTGTTAACATTGGTATTTTCAGGCTGTAATCAGCTTGTATAGGAGTCTAAAGAGAAGTGGTGTACACGCCTTTTGTTTCTTTGCATGCTCGATCATAGTGACCTGGAAAGTCATTGTTTGGTCGCCTTATTTTTATTTCTGAATTGGTCATTTTCCATGGTAATAATGTTGCGACTGCATATCCATTTTTTTTTCTAGGAAAATGAACAAATAAGCCTGAAATAAAGGCAGTGGGAAAAAGACATCTCTCAGTAAAAAATAGGCTTTACAATTAAATGTAGTGTGGAGAAATTGTTGTCATGCATTGATTCCATGTTGACTTTCTTGTGTTGATTTGTTTCTCTATTGGTCATTCTTTGTTTTGGAACTAATTTTTTGTCATTCATTGATTCCATTTTGACTTTCTTATGGTGCTTGTTGCTTCTTATGGAATTATTTTATTGCCTGTATTTGCATTGCAGATGTCTTTAAGTTCTCCTTAATAACAATGGGCGAATTGAATATCCTTCTAGTTGGTGTTCAGCTCTTTAGTGCATATTGTATTCAACTGATATCAAAGCATGGCTAAACATGCTTGCAGGGCTTGACTATAGTTACCCACATACTTAAAAAAGGCGGAAAGTTTATTGCAAAGATATCCGTGGAAAAGACACAAGCCTCCTCTATTGTCAGGTTGGTTAACTACTTGCATTAACCCTTCATTTTGCTGAA